ACTCCTCCTCCTTATCCTCCTCCTCCTCCTCCTCCTTCTCCTCCTCTCCTCCCCCTCCTCCTCCTCCTCTCCCATCCATTCCTCCTCCTCTTTTTCCTCCTCTCCTCCTCCTCCTCCCCTCTCCTCCTCCTCCTCCTCCTTCTCGTCTCCTCCTCTCTCTCCTCCTCCTCCACCTCCTCCTCCTCCTCCTCCTCATTGCCGTGCCTGTCTGCTGGGCGGGTGACCTCTGACGACAGTGGCTCGGACGCTGCCCTTTCCGAATCTTCTGAGCCGCCCACGCCTGTCACGCTCGTCGCCACCCCCGAGCGCGTCGGCAGCATTGAGGACGAAGTGGCGTGGCAGGTCCCTGCTTCGCTCTCGCCCATTGCCTTGTCCTCTTCGTTGACGTTCCCCTCTCGTGGTGCGGCCTCTGCGCAGTCTTATTCGTTCAGCGCCTCGAGTGTGCCGTTGCCCGCGCATGTTTGTTCGGGCTCTGGTGCCCGCCAGCCCGTCATTGCATCAGTCCCAGTGTGGTGCAACACCAGCAAGCTCATTTTGTCAACGCTTCCGAGGCCAGCCGTCATTGATCAGTAACCTCGGTGCCCACCCGTTCGCTCTGCCTGCATCTTTACCTCACAGTCGGGCCGAATATTCTCCACCCGCCCGCTCCCTCTGTGCACCCCTGCCCTGTCTGACCGCATCGCCCCCACTCGTCCGTCTCTCCCGAGCGCTGCTCTTGCTGGTGCTGCTCCTGCTCCCCCCTCGCTTCCCCCCCCCCCCCGCCGCCGCTCCATTCGACCTGCGCGATGACTTCGACCTGGCGATGGGCGCGGAGGCCGCGCCCCGCGCCCCGCCGCCGCCGTAGGTGGGCGGACACGCGGCCCTCTCTACGCTCGTCTCCTCCTCCTCCTCCTCCTCCTAAGGCCGCCCAGACTCAGGCCCCTTTCGGCCTGGCCTCAGGTGGTCTAACGCGCTTGCCCCCCAGCCAGTCAGCCGCGCTCGCCACAAGCAGGGCAGGCATATTTGCTCCAGAACCTGCCATGCACAGGTGACAGCGTGCGCGACGCGCTGCTGCCACGGTGCTGGTCAGGCTAGCAGACTTAGACGTTGCATCAGCTCGTGAGCTCCTTGTTCAACATCATTCGGCACAACGCTCTCCTTTTATAGATATGTCACATTCGTGGCTGTGTTCCTCCTGTGGTGTGTCCAGCTTCGACGAAAAGGGCACTCGCCGTGCTTGCTCGACACCGTGGAAATCACCAACCGCAAGGAGACCACAGCGAGAACAGCGGTCACTTCAGCCTACGGAGTCAAGTCAAGCCCGTGGCAAGGGCAATGGACGATCACCGGAAGGCAACGCCAGCGACAAAGAGTCTTCAAAGAGATGGGCTTCTTTTTCACGTCAATTATGTTGGGGTCTCAGGGCCAGATCAGGACCAAAACAAAGAGGAGTCGAATCAGGATTCTTTGTTGTCGGCATTGCCAGCTCGTCTTCAATAATCAAGAGCTCACCCCGCGTATCCCCAGGAGCTTCAGAGACCGCGTCTTCTTAGGATCGCAACGTTTTCGTGGCCAAGCGATGTGCAGAACTTCGTGCGCTTGCAGGTGCGGTACGGATGAATGAGGAAGCTGGGTTTGTTGCTGACGAGGAGAGAGGGTGGTGCGCTGTCGTGCTCGCCTTCGTTCACCTCTGACGCCCATGTGCAGAACAGGTCGATCGTCAGTTGGCCGCGTTTAAACGAACCAATGCTCGATTGCAGGCTGTTCAGTCCGACATCGAGGCCAAATACGAGGAGATCTTATGCGCGCGAGAGTCGGAAGGATGTGGCTATGCATGGGGGCAACTGGCGCACGGAGGTTCTTGCGGAGCTGCAGGCCAACCCTCCAGAGGACCAGATAGAGACCGACGCGGAAGATCACGATCAACAGGTTCGGACCCCCTTATGCAGATTTACGCTCCAATGAAGCGTTCCTTTTCAAAGCCAGAGGTGGTGCAATCGCTATTTGCGAAGGCAGCCCCTTCGGATCCCACTCCGACTTTGACGGCGGCGGCTCTGGTGCCAGATATCGCCGGGATACAGGGGCAGCTTCAAGCGTTCACCCAGCATTTCTTGAACGTCCGTGTCGAATTCAACATGATGGCCAAGCGCCTATAGAAGTTCCCTTGGCATCTGCAGCGGCAGCATCATCGGCAGCGACATCGGGACCAGCTCCCGCGTTCGGGTCCAAGCAGCGCTCCAGCGAACCGCGGAGGCGCCATGCGGCCCGTTTAGGCAGATCTTTTTCACCGTCGAAAGAGTGAGGGGCCAAGGTCGCCGCCAGCGAGGAAGGGGGCGATAAACGCCACCGTGGAGCCGACCGCTGCTCCTACTTCTCTGGGCGACATGGAGGGATAACATGACCCCTCAACCCCGTGTGCCAGCGCGCGCGGGGAAAGCGACGGGCCTCACGCGCACCCCGTGTGTGACCTCGCTACCTTTGACCTCGATACCGACGCCATCAACGCCAAATTCGCGAACACTCCTAACATTGCAGCCGATATGTCTTGCCCGTGGGATAGTGGTT